TGTAGAATTTAGCTTTTTTCTAGCGGTTTTTTATAAAAATCTGGATTTTTTACTCGAAAATAAGTAGTTGGCATTACTGGCTCGATTACACTTCTTAAAATAGTGGTTAGTTTTGAAGTAAAACGTGAAGTTTTTTCTCATTTGTGTTAAAAAAAAACAAAATTTCTAAAAAAGTTAACAGTTTTCTTAAATAGGGCTAACATTGAGTTTTCACTAGGCATTAAATGAAAAAAATTTACCACTATATTGGGCTTTAAACACTTCCCGTGTCATCCTGTTTTTCCACATTGCATTTTTAAAATGGCATACATTTTTTGTCATTTCATTGCATGGCGGAAATTCGTTTAAAGAATTAATGAAGTTTCTGTTGAATGATCATTGTCTTAGGCTTTCTGCACATTGGTCGTCCAATCATAGTTGCTTCATCGTCACAATCATGATGCAACGATTACATGCCGACTACACTTTCGCACACTCGGTCGTGATATTTCAATTCATTTGGCGTCTAAAAATTCACTTGGAGCAGGTATTTTCTGTTTTTCTGGTTGATATTTTCGCGAAATATTTACAAAAACCTGCAATTTTTAAAATATAGACTGTGCTGCAACAATTCTAGACATAATTTTTCAGTAATAAATATCTCTTATTTTCTTTTCCTTAAATGTGTTTTGTGCATGCACACATAGATTTTTTACAATTTCGTCATATTTTATAGTTAAAACGCTCACATTTATTGATTTTTAATGCAATTATCCACTTTTTAATAATTTCCACAGATTTTATGCAAAAAAATACAAATTGTTATGCAATTTTAATGCAAATATTAACTTTTTCATTACTTTTTCCCCATAAAATGTAAACAAACAATGCGTGCACAACGATTAGCAAACGACAGTGCCGTACTTATCCGTTTCTGCATCTTCTACGATATGCCGATAACGACAAGTGTGCAGATCTCCTTTGAAATGCATGTGCTCGGCTCAAAATTTCAGGGCAGGACGATAACGCAACTATGATTGGACGACAAGTGTGCAGATAGCCTTAGTATAGCAAAAGTTTATCTCACACTTTTTTTCGAATAACTCTAGATATTGAAACCGTTATGAACAATGTATGTATGCAACAGAGCTGGGTAATTTTTGTTAACGGTTACATTTTAATTATGATTATAATAATAGCAATCTTAACAAGTAAGAAAGTCTAAGTTCGGGCGGAGCCGAACATTAAATACCCGGCGCAAGTATTAAATATATGTTTTTTCACCCCTCCGAAACCTTCCGCTAGATGGTAAGACGAGGTGTATCAATTTTGAGTAAATTAGCGTCCTTCAATTTCGAAATATTGAAGTTTCAAGCATTTCTTAAATTTACCGTTATATGAGAATCGGCCGTTATTTTAGTCCGATTTCAATAATTTTCAACGTTTTGCTTACACGTGGCAAGTACAAACCGAGTTTGGTAGAACGGTTACCGATATACTTATATTTGATCATAAGTGGGCGGTGCCACGCCCATTTTCCAAATTTTTACCATAAACGTATTTCTTGGTAAAGAATTGTTGCAAGCATCAATTTTGAATAAATTAGCTTTAATATTTAATGATTTATCGAAGATTTTGTATTTCTCTAAATTACCGTTATATGGGATGTGGGCGTGGTTATTGTCCGATTTTAAAAATTTTCGGCCATTTGGTATGTTGTAGCAGGACCAACAACTGTGCCAAGTTTGGAAGAAATTGGTGCAGCGGTTACCAAGATATACACATGTAACCATAAGTGGGCGTGGCTACGCCCATTTTCCAAAAATTTATAATATTCTTATTTTTCGTCTAAAACTTATTGTAAATATCAATTTTGAGTGAATTATCTTCAATAGTTACTAAAATATCGCAGTTTTCGTATTTCTGGAATTTACCGTTATATGGGAAGTGGGCGTGGTTAAAGTCCGATTTCGCCCATTTTCAATACCAACCTACCTTGGATTAAGGGAAACCTACACACCAAATTTCGTTGAGATATCTCAATTTTTGCTCGAGTTATCGTGTACACGGACAGACGGACAGACGGACAGACGGACAGACGGACAGACGGACAGACGGACAGACGGACGGACAGACAGACATGGCTTAATCGATTTCTTTTTTCATCCTGATCATTTATGTATACATTTGTCTATATCTATCTCGATTCGTTTTGGCTGTTACAAACAACCGTTATGTGAACAAAATTAATATACCCTTGTGCACAAGTGCGCTCGGGTATAAAAAGTTAAGGACTCAGATTACTCTAATCGTAATCATGAAATACATTTCTAACTTCTAACGCAAAAATCCCACAGGCCTGTGTTATTTTTGATTATGTACTTGGATGTGAAATAACATGTTTTCTAAAATTTGTTAAGCAGATTCGCGCTTCAGTGCAATGAACATACTTATTTTAAGCCACTTTAAAAATCTTTTATCAAGATAAAAAATCCCCATACGCAAATATTGCCACTGATAAAACTTATACATATCTGGCAAACAAAATTACATATGGTAGGAAATAATTTTCGACTGTGGAGACGCGTCGTTAGCTAGTCTTTCAGTGTTGTAAAGGGTAAAATATAATTGATTAAAGCTAAAAGGCATTTAAACTGTTCAACTTTTACAGGCGATTAGTTGAATCAACAGCGTACATCATGTAAATGAAAGTTGAACAATGCCTTTGAAATACAATGATTGTGTACGATGAGGAAATAATAATATTCCGAACGAAATTTTTTGAAAATTTCATCACTGCTATACAACTTGAAAGGGGGGACAAGGAGGACATTTGTGCTCAAAAGGAGACAAAGAAAGACAAAATTTTGAGGAGGACAAATCACGTTTGAGGAGGACAACAGTCCTCAAAGGAGGACGTTTGGTCAGCTTAACATTTAGGACTAACATATGTACACACATTCACGCAAATGGGCTAAATTCTGTGATTATGATGAATATTATTGTACACGCCACTCGTCTGGCTTTCTTCTTGAAAAGAAAAACGGATAAATGGACGAAGTTTGATCTCGTTTAATTCTAACGAAAACGAGTGGAAAATCGCAAGCTCCAATGAAACAAAAAAGCTCCAGAAGAAGGGAGATGATAGCGGGGGTGGTAGGGAACTATAAAGATTAAGATTCAGATTAAGACTAAGGGTAAGACTAAGAATGGGAATAAAATGAAGATTAAGACTAAGACTAACAGGCATGTTCTGAAATTCGAACGATTTCAAATCGGTACGATTCCGAAATATTTTCGATGATTTTTAATCAGAAATTTCAGATTTCTAGGACCAGGTTACATGCATGCGGCCGCTGTGGTGTAGTGGTTAGCAGTGCGTGCTCCCACTCCGCAGGGCCTGGGTTCAAGCCCTGATCAAATGAATATCGCAAAAAAAATTTTTAAAAAATGTTTTTTCTTAACCTCGGCAGGACTGTTAGTCGGTTATCGATTATCCGTGTTATTTTAAAGTCGTTTTCTCGTTCAATAAGTGCGACTGAACAGTTTATAGTCGCTCATCCTTCTATAAACAAACAGTTGCAGAAGGATGAGCGATCACATACTATTGAACGAGAAATCGACATTCAAAATACCATGGAAAATCGATAATCGAATAAGAGTCGTTTATCTACTATTAGCCGACACTCGCAATAGGGGTGACTATGTAAATATAAGAGAATTTTTTCTTTAGAGCTGCATGTAGATTTAAGAAATTTTTATAGAAGAAAATTTCTTTTTTATTTTTTTCTGCGTCATTTTATATGAATTTTTTGTTTTACTTGAGAGCTGCAGACAGACCTTATAGACTTATTCATGCCCCTTCTAAAGTTTTTAATCGATGGATGAGCAAAATAGATTCTTTTTGCGACTTCTAGGGAGAATCTATCCTCTACGCCACTGTGTGTACTTGAATCAATTCGCAATAGGGAGCACTTCGTTGTATAGAAGTTCATAATAGGGAAGCTTGACTGTACATATGTATGTATATATATTATTAATCAAGAAATTCTCAAGTGATTGATAGATAGATCTACAACGGTACACACATATGTATATTTTATGAAATTTTCTCCTTAGCTTAAATTTCCGTTCTTATCATCGTCTAGTCCCTTTTACCTTATTAATTTGTAACGCTTTTCATCTACTTTTTATATGGCTATAAACTTATAACAACTTCATGCGTGCCAAGCGTAACAATTATTAGATGATTAAAGAAAACACATATTTTAAATTAGTTCCATCGTAAACTTATTTTGGTCAAAACAGCAACAAAAACAGTCATAATTTAGTTATAATGGAATGAAAAAAAGCGTTTAAATTTAAATCGAAAACAGCTTAGCCTTGATTTTAGAACGTCTTCAAGAGTGGCGCAAATAATTTTCAATGCATACATATGTATGCCAGTATCCTATGAACTTAGACACAATTAAATACATACATATGCACACATGCTGACGCGCATGCGGATAACTTTGCATGAATGAAATTGCGTGTGTGTGTGTGTGTATGTGTATGCGTGTGTTAGAGCTAATGAAAATGAAAGTGTTAATTTAGTGATCAAGTGAATGGAGTATTTATTGCCGCCAATTACTTAGACGCAAATCATTTCTGAAGATCGCCGCTGGGTTGGGCCAAAACAACAACAACAGCAATAAGATTGAGCTCGTGAACGCTGGAATATTTATAAATAAAATGAACTATCAAATCTTTACGAAATGTGATTTGATAAAAATCAAGTCACGTCTACCTACATATGTATGTTTAAGGTTAAATAAACAATACTGTTGAGGATTGAGGACCTCTTCAAAAGAAATGCATGAAGATAAATAATAGTAAATGCTCAGGAAACTTCTCCAGGTGTTTCTCGAGGCAGATTTTATCAAGTTGCCCATAAGAAACACAACTTTCTTTGCCAATTGTATTATTTATTTAATAAACGATTTGTTTACTCCTACAAATTACAAAAATCAAATTTTATTTATTTACTTAAACATTTACGTATTTCCTTTCATATAGTACATATGTATGTATGTACTTGTAATTGTATTATGTGCGTATATTATTGCAAAAACATTTCAACATACATAATTATTTCTATTATATGTACAAATTACTTTTATTACTTACCGAGCTATTTTTTAATCAGATTTTTAATTAACGCGGCGCTTAAAACTAGACAAAGTTACTAAGTCAGTGCAAATTATGCGATCTTTTATAATATAATTCAGTTTTTTTGGTAGCAATTTTTACTTTTAAATTTTTTCAATTCCTGATTGCTTTAGACAAATCAAAGGTTTAGACATTTCTTAGTCATTTATAACAAAATGCAACACAACTTATCATAAAAGAAAAGAATTCCAAGTTCTGTTATTTATAAGCCCAACACATATTATTTATACATTTTGTGTACATATAGGTATAGGTTTATATGTGTATGTATTTCCATAAATGCTCTATACTAATCCACAAGCATGTGCTCACAGTTGTGTACATATGTACATATATCACTATTGATATCATTGAAGACTGCGTTAGAGCTCAGCGCAGCTGTTTTACGAAGTTTTTGCCGATCATAGTCGACTTTCTCACAGCAAACTTTGTAATTCGGACAGAAATTATTCCACTTGTCTAGCTTCCCATCCTTCACTATCAGTGAATGCTTACGAGCCTACTTCGATCGTTTTATTGTTGCCTTTTGTAGTCATAGACCCCGTAGACTCCTTCTTCATCGTGACTCGCTCCTCTCCACTACCACTACCATTCCCACCACCACCTCCAGCCAAAGCATCTACTGATGACGAACGCGAGACGGACAACTCGGCTTCCATATCACTGCCCGCATATTCGACATCATTTTCTGCGACACCAATACTTGTGGGCGTGTACAAGTCTTCTTTGTAGGTCACTTGTCCCATGAAGGAGCGTATCTCATCAAAGTAAGAGTCCTCTCGATCCGCTTCAATTGACGAAGGCGAATCGCCAACACCAATACCCAGCCCACTGGTGTCCGCCTCGTGTTTCTTCAGATGTCTATCGAGATTCGTTTGTTGACCGAAACAACGGTCGCAGAGGTGACAACGGAACGGCCGCTCCTTGTTGTGTATGTTACGTACATGCCGTTGTAGATTTGATGAAATGCTAAAGGCGCGATCGCAATACTTGCAGGTATATGGCTGTTCACCGGTGTGCGTGCGTAGATGGCGCGTCAAATTGGCCGAACGTGGAAATACCTTGCCGCAGAACTTGCATGTGTATCGTTCTTTGATTTTACCTGAGGTTGTAGCCAACATGCTGCTTGTGAGGCCGGCAGCACGAATCGCTTCACGAAAAGCCGGTTCGGGCGGAAACGGCATGCCAACGCGATGCAGTGCACCCTCATAGGCTGGCCGTCCGCCCATTGCCCCTAAAAAAGGAAACGGCCTTGGGAATGCAGCGCTCAGCGCACGTGAACGATAGATCTCCTCGAGGAGTAGTGGATAAGGATGCTTTGGTTGAGGGCAGGAGATACCGGTCGCGGTGTTGGATGGTGACAATTCTTCTTCTGGTGCATTCAAGTAGCTGAGCGGTTCGTTGCTCGGGGGCGAAGGTGAAGGAGTAGGCCCAGGTGGAACTTTGTACTTGCGTCTGGGGCTTCTAAAAAAGGAAATTCGTTCTGATTTATGGGAGAGACGTTGTTGTTTATTTGGTGTAACGCCATTGCTGTCGGCACCCGCTGAGTTCGATTCCCGCAGCTCCGGGTCAAAATTACGCTCGCTCGTCGTAGTCTGGTTGGCGCCATCACTGTGTACCGACTGAGTATCAGCGGTAGGACTACAACTAGCGGCGCGCGCGCGATTGCGGCTAATACTCAAGTCGAGTGGCATTTCGACGCTGCTCGTTGTGGGTTTGCTTTCCTCATCGAATGCCTCTGCAGGTGGTGGCGTGCTGATAACGTCGATTGATTTCTGTAATGGAAGTACATGAGTGGAATTTTAATTATATACATATGTACATACATAGTTATGTGAATGCCAATCGGGATAAACTCACCTTATCATCTTCCGCTTGCTTGCAATTGTTGGTCTTAAATGAAGGCGTCTCTTCTTGCACGTCCACATCTTCGTTTGGTAAAACTTTTAGCTCCAAAGAAGACGAGCTGTTTTCGTCATCACTCTGGTTGCGAGGTGAGCAGCTTAGTTGCTTGATGAAATTAGGCGACGAGCAGGCGAGTGTAAGCGCAAGTGGCATTGCTGCTTTTTGATCCTCTTCAAGATCCGTCGCTTGATCTCCCTCAGCCTTGTTGCAACTATTCGACTGCTTCTGACTGTGCTCACTAGAAGGTGACACATTATCCGCACGCGCATTCTCTACGAAACCAAAATTGAGTTGCTGGTTTAGGCGCATGGCATTCGGCGATGGTAAACTGCCAGCTGCATTGTGATTGCCTGTCGGCTGCAGGCTCGGCATTCGCATATCCAAATTCGTTTTCGGAAACAGGAACGCCTGTGCTGGGCTGGGAAACATATTTTGAAAGCCGTAGGCTGCAGCTGCCACTGGGAAACTCGAAAAGAATGGCTGCGTGGGAAATAGCAGGAATGGGTGGGCTGGTCCCGGCATACCGGAGGCTGGTAGTGCACCACCCGGAACATTGACATTTCCCGCTGCGGCAGCCACCGCGGCATTAACTGACTGCAATGCTGCGACACGTGACTGCATGGCTTGCTGCTGCGGTGACTGCAGGTGTGGCGGCAAAGTTACTCCGGATGTGACAGATGCAGCAGTCAAGGGTTGCATTGGCAGCGGTACGTTGGTGGAGTCACAAAATCGTCTATGTTTTGTTAGCGATGTCCCCGTGCTGAAGCTCTGACCGCACTTATCGCATTTGATTTGCGTGCGACAGTCGGCGTGCATGCGCTTGTGACGGCATAAATTCGAGAATTGCGTATACGCTTTGTAGCACACCTCACACTGGAATGGCTTCACCGACGAGTGGATGTGCGTGTGCTGCTTTAGGCCGGACGATGTCGCAAATGTTTTTCCGCACTCCGGACACGCGTGACTTCTGGCACCGATGTGGTTCGCACGAATATGCCGTTGTAAATTCGATGGATCACAAAATACCTGTGCCAAAAAATAAAAACCAAACGAAAATTAGAAATGAGATGGGAGTACACGAAGAGGTAATTTCGTATGTAGGTTTGTGGATACATTAATCGCTTAATAACAATAACAAATTAATGGACTGAGCAGGTTTTGTGGAAAAAGAGATCAAAATCATGAAATGAGCAACGCTTAGCGTCAAATCAAAATTAAATAAGGCGTATAGGCGACCTTAAATGTACCGTAACAGAGAACGGTCGCAGCAAAGCGATCGATGCGAGATCAAAGCGAAGTAAACGAAGGAAATGCGAGACGGCAAGCTGTGATGGTGGTACGAGTTCAACTGAGGCAAAAGTGAGGCAAGTGAAGTGAAGGTGAGACCGACGATTGAACGGAAGGCAAAGAAGCAACACTATAAAACAAGGTGAGGCGATATGGCTGGATATGCGGTAAGAGTGTTTATTGATGCGATGTTATGCTACGCGTAGCCAAAAATTGAGCTCACCATTACAAAGAAGGCCTAAATAAGCATATGTTAGCCTTCCTTTCTTTTTTTATTAGAGGTGGCAGTTAGAAGGCGAAGCCCATAGTGGCGGCTACAACATGGCCATAAATAGCCAGAAAGCGCTACCGTTTTTAACGGCAACAACGACCACAGAATACCAACACGCTGTTGGTGATGGTAAATAAGTAAAAGTGTGTGTGCCTTGATGACAGTGAATCAATTACAAAATAGAAATGAGATTAATCAATCATACAAAAAGCTGCAGAAAACAACAACGACCACGGGGTGCGCAATGGAACCACAATGGCGACAAAGCATTAATAAAAACAACCAAACACCAAGGGTAAAACAAAATCTAAAAAAAATTACTGAAAAGCCCGCCTAAACGCCTAAACGGATCTACTCCATATGCAAATGCTTACGAGGCGACTTCCAGCAACAACAATGGAATGGGGAGTAGAATAAGCGTCGAGCAGCTTTACTTAAATGGAATAAAAAGAATTAAAATGATACAAGTCGAGCATAATAAATATATTACGCAAATTTGAACAAAAACCAGAGCAGAATTCGAGCAAACAAGTAGAGGCAGTGCCGGCAGAGCAGAAAAGCGGGTTGAGCGAGGCAACTCTACCACCTCCGACATTTACGGCTTTCAAGTGCTACAGTTGTCGCTTGTTCCGTGCCGTTCAAAGCAAAAGAAAAAAGACTGAAAACAAAAAAGCAAAGCGTTCCACACCAAACCCAAAGTAAGCGCGGAGTACCTATGTTTTTTTCTTTTCCACGACGCAGTGCGCAGGCGCGAATCCCTCAACGCTGAAGACGACGACGGCACAAACTAACTGACAACAAATACACTACCAGGTTTGGATTACGGCAAAGACTGCGGGGCAAAGTATTCTGCAACAAATACGATATAGATAGATTTGCGCGAATTTGTTGCGCTTGCCGCTGGCTTAAATGCCGCCGCCCGCGCGCCAGCAAATCATAAACCCACTTTAAGAAGCTCTGCACTAAGCTGCAAGCGACGGGCGGCATGTAGTGGAAGCTTTCGATATGCGGTTATATTTATGTTTCTATGTAGCTGTTGGTAATGGTGTTGCTGCTTTTCGGACACGGGTTCCGCGCACGTTCGCTGCTTTTATGAACTAAGCCAGGGGTTCTTAAACTTTTAAGATGATGGAACCCTTACTAAACACCATTCATTTTATGAAACCCTACATTAAATTACTAAAAATCAAAGGCAGTGTACAAACTTTTACTGGAAATAGTATACATACTTTAAATTTTAATGTAAAGAATGAAATTGTTTCACTGTTATTAATTAGGTATTGTATAAAATAGTAGTTCGATATAATGTCTGAAAGCTTTATGCACATTTCTGGGGTAGCATCTAATTTCGACCTGAATTTGTTTTTTGTATAAGTGTAAGCTGAAAACCCTGTTGACAGAGTACGTTGTGATAGAAGGAAGCAAAGTTAGAGAGAATTTTTAGCGACTTCATGATATTTACTCTTAACACTAACCCAAAACTCTTTCAGAGACTGATTCAAAGGTGTGCTTCAATGTCGAAGTACTCTGAAGATCTACGAATGCTTCGTAAATGGATTTTGTACCAAACCGATATTACTACGACCATCCGAAAAATAATCTGACTAAGTTTTCAGGATATTTACCAAGTGCTCAGTTATGACATTTCACATTTCATTTGGCAATTCATCGCATTCCTTGTAGAAAGTTGTATATAACCCTCTGGCTACAGCGGCCAACGACACACCAGTGAGAAAAAAAAACAAGCTGTCAAGCTCAAGCTCAACGCTCTTATGTAGGTATGACACTCAGTACGGCAATCATACAAACTACGAGTACATATTGTCACCTGAAATGCAAAAAGACGTAACAACATCGCAACTGAAATTGAAAAAGTCGTGGCTAATATTTTCATTTTTTTCCATAAAATTATGTGGGAGTTGGAATTCAATGAAATCCATCATATAAATCAAAAAGTGAATTTTGAATTTTTTATTAGTTATGACTTGTATTTAAGCGATGATGTTTGTTATGTCTTTTTGAATTTCAGGTGACGATATATATACTTGAAAATAGATAATTGCGTCTCAGTCAAGCTGTTTATAGAAATTTTCTTTCTGTGTGGAACTCAAACCGACCGCCGTGCTTATTCATACCAAAATTAATTTCGCGGAACCCCGGTGACTTTTCTACGGAACCCTTGGGTTCCGCGAAACCCACTTTAAGAAGCTCTGCACTAAGCTGCAAGCGACGGGCGGCATGTAGTGGAAGCTTTCGATATGCGGCTATATTTATGTTTCTATGTAGCTGTTGGTAATGGTGTTGCTGCTTTTCGGACACGGGTTCCGCGCACGTTCGCTGCTTTTATGAAACTGTTATGCCTAATCATGCTGTCATAATGGCACCGGCAATGTCTCTCTGCCTGTCATTGTCTGTCCGTTTGTCTGTCTACTCGTATACATTTCTATCTGAACCTAGTATATCGCGCGCATATGGATTTGGGTATAGGATTTGTTGTTGGTGGATGATCGAAGTATAGCCGTGAAGCCGAGAAGGCTTTAATGTTTTCATACATAAACTTGTATCGTATGAAAGGTCTTTTTGTTTTGTATCTCTTTTTATAAGAAACAAGAATAGCTCGTGCTAAAACAACGTCAAATGAATTAGTGTAGTAGAATGAAGCACTTACTGAGCCACTTTTGGGACAAAACTTACTTCGACTGCTTTTATTTAAAAAATTTTTATCATTGCTGCCCTCGCTAATATTTTTGGATGAATGGACTAAGGCAAAGTGTTGGTATGATCTGTTTGCGCTGAACTAAACTGATTTGGTTTGAGTAACGTTGCTTCGGATTGCGATTCCTTCGGTTTTGAACCTCGACGCTTGCTGTGTTCCTGTGACTATCAGCGCGATTGACTGACTAACTTCCTCAGTGCATTTTCGTCCTACGCCCTCAATCAACATAAGCCTGCATGAAGGTCTGAAGGTGTCTAGTGTCAGCGCAGCGCGCTAACGCTGGAATACGATTTATGTAAATTCTCAGATCTAATCAGATTATTCTATTTTCTTACACATTTTTTCGGTGCTCCAGCTCAGTTCATTGCTTCTATTAGCGCGTGACACACCTTACTGGCATCTTCTAACAGCACATGTCAGCAAGCGCGCTATTTCAGTGCAGTGTCTTCTCCCTTGCGTATGGTAATACCACTAATGCGCTCGCAACGCCCAAATAGCGCGCTTACAAAGCCCACCGATAATGGTGATACCAGCAATGCCTATGTATAAATCCAAAGGTGACCATGCAAGATTGATTATCTTAACAATTGGGCAGCTATAGGCAAATTTTCATACAGCCGTGTGCTTGTGCGGGTGTGATCTTCACATTTGTATGCCCGCCGCCTTGTGCACGATCACCAGCGATCGTGCGCGGGGAGAGCACTTTGCATTGCACACGACATGGTTACTACTGAAACAATTACTGCGGCGTGCCAGAGTGACGCAGCGGAGAGCTCATCACAATGCGGCGATTTGGCTGCGTAACTGTAACTATATGTAACACTTATGTACATATGCCATTAGCATGTGCGCGATAGTGGCACTCGATCGCTTGATGGAACGATCGATCAATCGATCTCTAGCGCATTGACCGTTTGTTTGCGGCAATACAGTGGGATTTAATGTGGCAAATCACAAATCATTTTCCTTGTACGCCATCAAACCGCAAGCTGCAGCAACTCGTCCAGCCATAAAAGTAATCTCTAAAGATGTTTCCTGCAATTGCCACGCTTCTGTTAATGGACCAAAATTGGAGCGACTTTCAAATAAAATTAAAGTACATACTACATACATATGTATGTATGTATATTGGAAGTTGCAACGCGTAGAATTGAGCAGCGCGCGGTACGGCGAACCTGTCTTGTTATAAAGTGTAAGGCATTGTCAAGCAGACTAAGTAGATTAAACATGTGTGCGCATGTTTGTGTTTATAAATTATGTGGGTATGCATCATCCAATAACAGCAACTGCTTATACCAAGCATTGCATGATAGCCAACTCTTTTGTGCCTTTTGACCTGTTTTGCGCGGGCGTACATCACAGCTCCAAATTTCATTATTACCACACTTTAATAGGGATGTCAGTGGCAAAAAAACATCGATGCATCGATATTTTTCCATATACATATCGGAGGGCATACATCGATTTGCATAGAATTTTCAGATATTATTTGAAAGCAAAAAATGTAATTAACTTTATTTTCAATTTGAAAATTAATTTATTATTTATAACTAAACAATTAAATTCAGCAAAATGCCTAACTAAAAACATAACTGATATTTTTTTTAAATTGTTCGTTATTATTTCTCACAAACTCGCGACCACTGTCACACGGCAACACTCGATTAGTTTGACAGCTTAACAGCAGAACGAGCAAGTTTAAATATATTTTCGAAATAAATTTGCACTCTTTCAGTTGCAGTCACACCAGGC